TCTTCTCAACAACACTCTTACTCCTGCACTTTACACCGAACACAACGTTCCAAATGAGATTACCTTTCAATCTTCAAGTAAACTTACTCAGCCTACCCTCTAACGCTAATGGCCTAATCTATTCACAGACCTACAACGGTCTGACCTCGGCCCAACTTCGGCCGTGGGGAACCTGGTTCCCTCCTACTCCCTGGACACTCTCCACACCCTCCCTTCCAATACAGCCTACTGCGGCCGTCCACTGGAACCGAGCTGCCCTGGTTCAAAGGGCAAAAGCCAGCCCCAGACCACACAAGCCAAGCCAACCCAAAAAGCAGCCTTTTCTCCCTCTCTCTCTCCCCCTCTGGGTTGGACGGCCTTCTACTGTAGCCATTTAGAGATTACCAAACCTCTTGATCTGTGAACGTCTGCCAGTGTGTTGTTAATTGCCCATGTCTTGAGGAACCACCACAGGGCTCTTCTTGGAGCCTTTCCACATTTCGCCTTCCTCCGCCAGTCTGCCCAGATCATCTGTCTCAGCTGCCTTTTGATTGATCTCTTAATCTCTACATCAGCAAATGGCTTACCCTCGAACCTAGACCTGTTTCTGTCTGCCCAGATAACAGAGCAAATAACAGCTCTTGCCACCTGGGCCACATATGCCCAACCCCTTTTCCCTGTCTCTTCCTCCTTCACAAATCCCAGTAGGACCCATTTCTCATCCCACTCCATCTCCTGGGGCCCCATCAGGGTCCAATGTTCAGCCCACCACCTCCACACCCTCTTCGAGGCCGGGCATTCCCACCAGAGATGTCTGGTGGATTCAAATGGCCAAGTACAGCGAGTACAGCCTATGTCCACTGGGGTTCCCCTCCCATTCAACCAAACTGCAGACGGGGTAACTAGCAGCGATAACAACCACAAGATACTAGCTTGCTTCCTGTCCGGTAATTCCAACAGGGTACTCCATAGCTTCTTGAAGTCCTCCGCTTGAGATCCCAAATCTTCCGACAGTATTGTCCCCCACCTGCTGATGGCCACCTCTACCGGAGATCTTGTCTTACAATCCGCCAACTTATAGGACTCTTTCACCGTCATATCCAACAGATCCCGCTTGTCACCATCCCACTTCCAGGCACAGGGGTCAATTCGAAGGAGCTTCAGCGGTACCTGTCCTATCCAGGTCACAGACTCCAACTCCCCTGTCCTGTCAACCGATTCTCTTACCCTGATCTGTCGGGGATTCTCCCACTGTCTAATCACTGCTTCCTCTATCATCTGCAGAACCCCTCCGTGTGTTCACCTTCCAAATTTGGACCTCCCTGAAACCACACTGCGTCAACCCCTGAAGCTTCCAAACCACTCCTTCATCCCTGGCCTCTTGGGCAGGAAGATACCAGGTTCCCACCGGGTCCAGGCCTTCTGGTCCCAGGATATGCGCCCAATGATCCGGGATGCCTTTTGAAACAGCTCTCCAATGCTCTTCTGTCCTTCTGAGGCCTTGGAGTTTGGGATAAATTTCCTCAAAGGGTCTCCAGCTTCCCAGAATTGTTGACCATAAGTCTGCAACCTTCGAAATCCCCCTCCTGATCCATGCGCTACCAAAAGCTCCTGATTCTGTACCTGCCGAAAACTGGGAACCCTCCTCATCAACAATCCACGGGTTTTCAAAGAGACATTGCTGTAGAACTTCATCAGTTGTCTGTGGGGGAGATCTCTCCTCTGGGGGCAGTTTCACCCAGGCCCTTCGGACTGCTTCCCAGAACTCCGAAGAAAGCCTCTTCCTCATAAAGGAGTTCACAAAGAAACAGACCCAGACATCTTCCCTTCTAGATAGGCCCATTCCCTCATAAGAATTCTCTCAGCTAGCCAAATCCAATCTTCCTCCCCATCGGATTGCGCTACCTTTGCCAGCCACTGCCTCAGTTGGGCCTGGTTTCTCCGCTGCGGATCCAAAATGCCCACTGCATTAATGACCATAGCTCCCAGACTTTTTCTTTTTTTTTTCGTGTGTGTGTGTGTGTGTGTGTGTGTGTGTGTGAGTCTCTTTTTTTTTTATATTCCAATAAACCTTTTGAGGCCGGGGTCCTCACAGTCTACCGGGAGCAACCAAAAGTCTGGGAGCATTACCCAGTTTCGCTTACGGGACGTAGTCCCGCGGGGACCAGCCCCGGAACAAACCAATATGCCTCGAGCGTTAACCATCAAAGACTCAGAGCACCTGGGCCTTATGCTGAGAGCTAACCTCAGTGCTGAAACAACCCCGGATGCCCCTAACGCGGGGCATTGGAGCATAGTCCTCTCGTTCCTGTGACGCTCCCTCCAACTGTGTGAGTCTCCTCGTCCTTCGGGCTTAGCTCCACTACTCACCACATGCAAAAAAGACAAAAATTATGCTGGTGCATCTTTCTCTGTTTTAGGGGAAGATTCATTCTCATTTT